GCAGAATCCTCACAATTTGGATTAGTGCCCTTAGGAAAGAGACCCCCACGAGCTAGCTAGTCCCTCCGCCATGTGAGACCACAGATAGAAGGCACAGCTATGAACCAGAACATGGGCCCTCACCAGACACCACATCTGCCGGTGCCACCATCTTGGGCTTTTCAGCCTCCACAACTGTGAGAGATAAATGTTTGCTGTTTATCAGCCACTCTGTCGCTGGCATTTTGTCATATTATCCTGAACAGACTAAGACGCCGGGTCGACCTGACATTTGAGTCACGATCTTTCCACGACATTGTGTCTGCCTCTGTCAGGAGAAATGCTCAAGAGAAGAACTTCCTTGGGAAAGTGACTAAAAGAGCAGTCCTACAGCTCCTGAAATCTGCAGTTCTCGCTTTCAAATCCTGCTTTGAGACATGGAATCACCCAGATATTACAAAGTTCTAGAACCTAAGACGGAAAGTTTGAGAGGAAGGAGGGTGCTTCCATTTTTCAATAGCAGAGAAGCCGAGAGGCCAAGATTGTCCGTTGTCATCATTCGTGGGTGTTCTGGTGATCCCTTGCTTCGTAATCAATCACCTCAAATCTTAGTGGCTTGAAGCAACTATAATCATTGTGTTGTTATCTCTCACCATTCTGGAGGTTGGCCAGGCTGAGCCAGGTAGTTCGCACTCAGGGTCCTTCATGCACTTGCAGTCAGCTGCCAGCTGGGGCTGGAATCATCTGGAAAGTCTGCTCACTGGCTAGTGGCTGATGCTGGTGGTCAGCCAGGGTAGTAGGAGCTATTGGCCAAAACTCCTCCATGTGGCCTCTCCGTGTGGCCTGGGCTTCCTCACTGCGTGGTGGCCAGATTCCAAGAGCAACAGTCCCCAGAAAATAGAGTGGAAGGGCACGGCAGTTTTCTGACCCTGCTTTGGAAGTCACATAGTGTCACTTCTGCAGTGACTTCTGTTCATCAAGGCAGTCACAAAGTCCCACTCAGGTTCAAGGAGACGGGACACAGACCACTACTCAATGGGAGAGTGTGAAGAAGAACATGTAAGATGGGATACACCATGGAGGCCATCGTTGCAAAATACAATCTGCCACATGGCAGGCTTTCCTGGAAGAACTTTCCATTTGAAGGAAAAAGGTGACAAGTGGCAAATTGTGCCTCTAACAAGAACCTCTCCTGTAGTCACATCTGATGATAGCTTCTTTGGGGAACTGGCCACAAGAGACATGATCGGCAGCAAGATTTACAGCCCTGCCAAAGCTGTCATTGAAATAAATAGGATTAGGCTGCAGTGACTTCATCATCTGGACTGTTCTAATAACGTGTAATTTGCAGCCATGCTGTGACCAACAAAGCTGCTGGGGCACGTGAGTGGAAGTGCCTGGTCACCTCTGGGTCAGGCTGTTTGCTGGAAATGTTGCAGGCCCTTGACCCCGTCCACCAGCAGACAGATCTTACATCCTCCCCTTACCAGCTTTTTTATGCAGAAAAAAGCTGGAGGTGATTTTGCTTTAGAAGTTCCAAAGTCAGCCAGAGCCACAAGAAATGTCCTCCGTCTTCCCTGAGCTGGGCTCCCTGAGGCCCCAGTCCCAAGGCTGGGAGGGCACAGTGTGCTGGGGCCTGGCTCCCAGGGGACCTATGTCCCGCCTCCAGGGGAGCTCAGTATCCATCCACAATCCAGTCTGGCAGGCCCTGCAAGGAGGGATGGCTCCTAAGATGTGGACCACAAGCCGCAGGGTGGGGGAAAGACCTACTCCAGCCAGTCCCATCCATTTCCCCACGGCTCCCTGGCCCCCAGCTGCTGGCTTCCCTCTGGGTTCTCTCTCCGGCTCCCTGCCCCTGTGACAGGAAGCATAGCCTCCTGCTAACCCTATCGTTGTCACAGGCCCTCCCATGCAGACCAACCTGGTGTCACCCTGGGCAGGGAGAGGCTGGGCTGGCCTTCCACAAAGGCTGCAGAGCAGAGCTTGCTGGCATCGGTCCTCGAGGCTCTCACTCTCAGGAGACCTTACTGCTCACTGGGGCCGTGGAGTAAGGCTGCACGCAAGCAGGGGTCCAAGGACGGGGCAGCATTCTGGGCCGCTGCGGGAGGTGGGCTGGTGCAACTGGCCCAGGATGTGCTTTCACTGCCTCTGGGCTGCCTCTCTGGCCCCTGCAGAAGCTCGTGCCCCTGTGGGCCTTCCTGACCCCGCAGAGGGTTCCCCTATCGAGTGAATTGGCCCTGATCTCAGCTCCCCACCTGTGAACTCTCAGTGCAGAGCAACGATGAAATCCACAAGTTCCCTAAACTCCTGGGTGGGTGGCTCCACCTGGAATATCCAGGTCTAGAGAAATGTTAATTACAACCACCCCCATTTATTCAGCATTTACTATATGCCAAGCACAATAGCAAATGCTTTCTCAGTATTTAATCCTTACCCACTTACAGATGAGAAATCTGAGGCTGATAGAAGGTAAAACATATTTCTCATGGTGTCACACCAGTAAATGTCGGAGTCACTGTATGAATCCAGATCTGTCTGTTTGCAAACTCCTTATTAGAAGTCATGAAGTGTTTCTGACGTACCCTAGGCCTTGGCAAGTGGCCCCTGAGTCCATAAGTATCCTAACCTGGGCCCCTCCCACGCTGTCCTCAGTCCCCTTTGCATGGGGCAGAACCCAAATCAGTGGGGCTGGGGCGAGGGGAGGACGGGGAGAGTGGCAGGCAGGCTGGCAGCTTTGGCTAGTCAGGGAAGGGGCTCCCCACCGTGGGTGCCCAGTGGAGGCTGGGTGCTTCTCTGACACTAGCTGTTGTGGAGAGAAGTCCGGCCTCAGATGCTAAAGGCCCAAAGATGCGAGGGGGTTTCCGAAGATGACTCCACAAGGCTGGGGGTGCTGCTGTCTATTTTGACAGCTTAGCTGGCCCTCAGAAGGGCCCCTCTTCATGACTGCCTCTGAGAAAGCTCCTTGCCCTCTCCTTCCCTCCAGGAAGTACTTTAGGTGGAAAGTGCATGCACTTTAGGGTCAAGTCTCTAATCGGCCACTGATTAGCTGTGTGACCTCAGGAAAGTCACTTCACCTCTCTGAGCCTCAGTTTTCTCCTCTGCAAGTAGGGTTAATAATACCCATTTGACAGTGTTGTTGGGAGGATTCAAGATCTTGAGCATGAATCCCTGCACATGGGAGGCAGGACACTGTGGTCAAGTTGATTAAGCCCAGGTGAGAGTGTGGAGGACTGCTCTACGAAGACCCTGCATGCTCAGCAAGATTTCCAGTGTGGGCATGGTTGGGGCTCCCTGATGGGGCCCCCTGGGCTTGCTGGTGCACAGGACTGACACTCCTCCGCCAGCAGCGAGCAGCCGCCATTTCAGGGGGGTGTCCTGATGAGGTTTGAATAGGTGAGGAGGGGGAGAGGGGCCTGCAGGAGCTGGAAGGATGGGTGCAGGGGAAGGGAAGGAGGCAGGGCGGCCACACTGCAGGAGGGTCCAATGCCAGCATGAGGCTGGGAGGTGGGGTGTAGCCCAGCAGCCTCCGAGGGGAGTTCACGGGCAGCTGGCTGGAGGAGCAGGATGACAAGAAAAAGGGCTTGGAAAGCCCATGCCGGACTCTGGGCAAGGAGAGGGTCTGGCAGGGTCAGGCCAAGAGCACAAGCAGCCTCAGGGCTCAGGACTCTGGGGATTGGGGGCGTGGAGGGATGGGTACTAGGGACCAGGGACTGGCTCTGATGTGCTGGTTGTTCTGGCCTACCTCTTCTCAGGTAATTCTCACAAGCACCATCCAGGTTTCCCAGATGAGGAAATCAGGCTTAGAGACAATAAGTGGCTTTGTCCCAGGCCTCAGTCAGGAAGGGCCAGAGCCGGGATTTGAATGCAAGACTCTCTACCACTTTCCATTGCACCAGGCAGAGAGGAAGAAGGAAAAAGTGAGTGGGCCCGATGGGGCAGGACCTTGTTTGCTGGGAACCCAACCCAAGAGAGCTTCGTATGAGAACCAGTGAGCGCGCCCTGCCCTCACCCAGGGTGCCTGACAAGGGTCGGGAGCGCAGGACAGGAAAGGCAGGTTTCCCCGCAGGCCTGGGGCTCTGGAGCAGCTGGGCCAGACCAAGAATTTCCGGCAGAGCAGCCCCGTTTGCTGCGGCCACCCGCCCACCGGGGCTGTCACTCACAGAGTAGCAGCAACTCTTCACAGCCCTTAGACAAGACACTCCCCCCGTGACTCCTCATCCCCCACTTGCTTAGTCACTGATGTGTCAAAACGGAGGAAACTACCTTCTCCCAAAGACGTGGAGGAAAGAAGGATGGGACTGTTGGATCCAGAGTTCTCCCACCATCCTTCTCTGGTCTTACTCCACTCTAGCGATCACGGCTTCTCCAGATGGGCCATGCACTGTCCCTGTGAGGAGTGGCGGCAACACAGCCCACGTCCACTCAAGGGAATGTGGGAATCCTGTAAGCCCCAGCCATCGAAAGACAGAGTCTTGGGATCCCTCATAGAAAGGGATGAATGACACAGAAGTGGCTGCTTGGGGCCATTTGAGGCCTGGTTTACCCAGAAGAGTCCATCAGAGACCGCCCTAGTGTTTGGCCTTAGAGAGCCCCCCACGGCCGCCTCCCCAGACGCAGGGCCCAGCAGGGGCTGAAGGCCACGTTCCCACGCCGCTCCTGCTGGAGCCAGGCCAGGCCTCAGTCAGCGCCTTTCACGGCTGCCCGGCTCAGAGCCCGGAGCACCGCAGGGTCTGGTCTGAGGGGAATCAGTCAGTTCCAATTACCTGTGGAGAGGGCTCCCACAATCAATGCCTCTTTATTTCCTGAAAAGCCACATGCTCAGGGCAACAGCCGGGATAGACCTGCAGTCTCTTCCCATCCAGGCAACCCCCTGGGGCTCCTGTGAAGATGCAGAGGTGCCTCCTACCCACCTGCCCTGATGAACCAAATCTCGAGTCCTTGACCGTGACCCCTGGGGGGTGGGCTTGGGGGAGGGAGATTTGAACTACCTGGGGACCTGAATTTGTTCATTCCTTCAACAGATACAAGTATGCTTGAATGTCCACCACCTTCCGGGCACTGTGTTGACGTGGGACATGGCAGCGAACGAGACAAACCCTGCAGAGCCCTGGGGATCTCACATGAGCAAGTGAGTTGTCCGGTCCCATTTTCCACCCTGTCAATGAGAGGGCTGGACAGAGCAGTGCGTGCTTCTTGGTCACTGTGTCCTGGCCTCTGCTGGAGACTGGACTAGGACGGGCCTGAACGCTGGGGCTGATTAAAAGAGATCCTAAATAGCTCAAGCCATCTGACTGTCACAGGGGCTGTGCCCTTGTGGCCATTGATCCACTCACAGGCAACCACGGCCAGGCAGGAGAGGTCACAGCAGTCAGGATTAGACCCAAAATTGCAGATGAGGACATTCCAGGGCTCCTGCTCTAGCCCCTTAAGAGACTGCCTTGCTGGAAGAAGCTCACAGTCAAAGATGAGTGGATCTCCAGGCCGTGGCCCTCCCACCATGGACCTCTCATCTGCCACGGCCAGGTTAGGACTTGCCTTCTGGCCTCCCATCCGCCATGGTCATGGGGGCAGGCATGGAGAGCTTGAGCACCTTGGAAGTGTCTAGATGAAGCTTTCCAACAGGAAACCTAAGCAAGGTCTCAGCCAGTGGGCGAAGGCAGCTGGTCAAGGCTCTCCTACTAGGTGGGATCAGGCGAGGCCAACTCAAAGAAGAGCTTCCATGGCCTCCAGGAGACACTGCCAGTGTCCTGGAGACTGGGCATCCCAGCCTCCTGGCTGCCCTCCACACCCCACCTTGCCTGCCCTGGCCCTTATCATTCCACAGGAGGCTCCTGGGGAGCTGAGCCTCTCCACATCCAAGTGGAGGGACAAGGGTGAGCCAAGGGGGCACAGGATTAGGAGGGGCAAGGTCTCCCAGAGAGCAGGACTAAGGCTGTCAGGGTGGAGTCAAGGCCAGATGTGCTCTGCCAGGAGGGACCTGGTCCAGGCCAGCTCAGGGAAGGCCTCCAGAAGCCTGCACAGGGCCTCTAGGGGGTTTGAGCCCAGCAGCGATGGAGCCCTGACCTATGGGTGCAGGCACCCGTCAGACCCTGGGCAAATCACTGAGCTTTCCAGAGCCTGAAAATCAAGTGAGGCAGGGAGATAAGACCCTTTACTGCATCAGCCAGTAAATGACAGGCCTCATGGAGCACCTCACCTCCAGGGAGCAGGCTGCGACCTCAGGTCCTCCTACAGCACAGGGGTGGAGAACACACAGCTGAATGCTGGGGGTTCCTCCAGGTGGGCAGTGAGATCCTCGGACACCACCTTGCTGGAAAGCGTGGGACAGGGGGCAGGGAGCACCCAGGACACCAGGCAGCCTGGGCAGAGATCTCAGGGCTGCTTCTTGCCTTCTGTGTGACATGGGCAACTTCCTTCAGTTTATCCGTAAAATGGGCCAATAATGCCTGTCCTTCTCTGAGGCTCTGGGAGGAACTGTCGCTCCTGTTGTTGCTGTTATTATTATTTGGGCCCAGCAGTCAACTGCTCTGTAACATGCACAGTCACAATCAGGATAACATATCCATGGTCACTGTTAGGGGCTAAACTCTGTCCCCCAAAATTCATACATTGAAGCCCTAACCCCCAGTACCTCAGCCTCTGACTGGATTTGGAGACAGGGCCTTTAAGGAAGTGATTAAGGTTAAATGAGGTCGTATGGGTGGCCCTGATACCATTTGACTGATGCCCTTAGAGAAAGAGGGAGAGACACTAGGAAAGGCCATGTGCGCACACAGTGAGAAGGCAGCCGTCTGCAAGCCAAGGAGAGAGGCCTCAGGAGAAACTAAACCTTGGACTTCCAGCCTCCAGAACTGTCAGAAAATAAATTTGTGTCATTTAAGCTCCCCAGTCTGTGGTGTTCTGTTACGGTGGCCCTAGGACCCTATCACAGTTACTAAGGAGGTCACTGGGCTCAACCATAGGCCGCCTTGCTTGTCCCGGAAGCTCCTCTCAAGGCCTCCTCATGGGGGGTATTTCCTTGGACCTAGGATCTGCTGGGCAGGGGCATGCCCTTCTCCCAGCCCTCACATTTGGGGTAGGGTCACCCTCACCATCTGCTGGAGCGTGGCTCTGTCCTGGCCAGCCCCAGACAGGCTGTCAGCCCTCTCAAGCGTCCCTGGCACTCAGGGCCTCTCTTTGGTTGGCAGCCTGGCAGCTGTGGCCTGCGCCTGCCCGGCAGGGCCTTGTCAGCCCCTCAGCAGGAGCCCGGAGCTGGGTGTGGGCACCCCTCATCTGCACCGCTGCTGGGCCCTCAGCCCTCTTGGCTTTATTCTTTCTTCTAGCTCCCGGCCAGATTGAGAACCCTTCAGGAGGGCTCAGTTAATATTCCCTGAGGTTGGCCTCTCAGACTTCTTCCAGAAATCCAACTATGGTTCCCATTCCTCATCTAGCTGACCAGAGTGTTCAGGAGACTCCTGGAGACAAAGGAGAGGTGGGAACAGAGAGAGGAGCAGGAGGAAGGGCATGATGGCTCATGTGCCTTCAGGCCTGGACCCCCTGGAGGAAGTCTCCGTCAGCACTCCTCCCAGCCCATCCCAGAACTACGAGCCCTGCTGGAAATGGCAACACCTTTGCGCATGACCCCTGACCAGCCATTCTGAGGTGACCATTCTGCTCAGAGGGCCCTCAGCCAGAGGTCAGGAGCCTCACGACTGCTGGTGAGGAGCTGAGGCCTGTGTGCCAGAGGCTGCTCATGGCACTGAGGGGTCAGGACCAGGAGGTCATGAGAGAAGGCAGTCAAGCTGGTGCCCGCCATGGTGTCCAGAACCAAACTGACACCAGGCTCTTTTGTACCAACTCAAGGAAAGAACGGGCTTGTTTTCTTTTCTCAGCCCCCAAGGACTTTCTCTGCCCTCCCCTCCCGGGAGGAACTTCTGTGAACCTGGAGACCTCCTGGCTCTGCCCAAGCTGGTCTTGATTATCCAGCTACACTGCAGGGAAGAGAGGAGAGAGGGGCTGCTCAGTCCAGCCAGGTCGAAGGCAAGGGTTCCCTTCCCTTGGACAGATGGGCGCCTTGATGTGTCCACTCATTCATTTGTTCAATAAGGATTGACGAAGCATCTTCTGTGCCAGCCGCTGTGCTAGGCTCTGGTGAGGGTAGGTGAGAAAGCTGTGGAAAGGACCTGTTGTTTGTGCAAGGACAGATGACTAACATGAAGGATGAAGGAGCCCTTTCTCTGGGGGCAAGTGGGCACCTGACAGCGAAGGAGAGACACACATAGGCACCCTAATAAAACTACTCTGAGAGCTCTTTGTGGCAGGGCTGGGTCCCGGGGCAGCCTGTTTGTCAGGGCCAGGATCCAGCCCCACACTGTGTTTCCTTTGTGTTCACGGGTCCACCATGTGGGGGTGGTTACTCTATGGCATGCTGGAGGGGGCATGTGAGGAGGGTGGGGCCTGCAGGGATGAGCCTTCCCTCCATCCCACCCCCAGGTAGTTCCCCCAGCCACGGAAAGAGCTGATGTTCCTTGAGTGCTGGACGCGCCCAGGGGTGGCAGTGGAGGGACAGTCTTCTCTGTTGGTGAGGCCAGGATCAGCAGGCACAGGCAGAAGTGTGGGTGTCTGCGCCTGGAAGGCAGGGAAGCCCTGGCCTAGGGTCTGAGTCGCCATGTTATCATTGGACATTTCATCCTCTTGGTCAGGCCCAAGTTCTGGGTTGCCCAAAGGCCATGTGTCTTAACCATCTGCCTCCTGTACGCCTGTACCTGTGTGGTTGAATGTGGCTGGAGAGAAACACACATGAGGCTGACGGATCTCACCCAACTAACAGAATTCTCAAATGGGCACCCAACATGGCATTCGCCTATATGTCCCTGGCATTTTCACTCTACCTTCTTCTCTGTCTTCTAATGCCACTTGTCCCTCAGCTGATCATTTTGTTGATCATATTACACTGAGAAAATAGAAAATATTGGAAAGAATCCCTTCACTTTCCCACCACCAAAACTATAACCGTTTGCATGTGTACCCATCTGCCTGCCGCCATCCCAATTCCTATCTAAAGTTCTGGGTCCCAGCCTTCTTGCCTTCCCAAGACCTTTGCTCATGAAAGTATCTTATTATCTTCCCTTCTTTAGCATAATTTCCCCCTCTCTACAGGATCTTTCCCATGGACATACATAAATGCTCTAGGAGCTCCCGTCTCTTTAAAAACAAAAATCAAAACAAAAACAAACAAAAAATTTGCCCCTTGATGCCCTCCCCCTGCAGCACCTACCCCTCTGATTATTTGCTCTCCAACCCAGTGAAACTTCAAGAAGCGCTCTCTACCTGCCGCTCTCACTCCTCCACTCCCATTCTCTCCATACCGACCCCGCTGGGCTTCCTTTACCACCACTCCACTAAAACTGCTCTTGTCAAGGTCTCCAGCAACCTTCACATTGAGGAAGCCAGTGGTCACTTCTCTGCCAACCTGTTGCACCTATCAGCAGTGCTGGGGTGGTTGGCTATGTCTCCCCTCTTGTCTTCAGCAAAAAACCCCTCCCCCTTTCTCTCAATCTCTCTCTCTCTGCCGGTCTCAGGCTCCTCTCTTGGTTTCAGTCAACCTCTAAATGTCGTCTGTGTCAGAGCCTGGTCACAGACCTTCTGCTATTCTCCAGACACTCTACCTAGATGATCTAATCAAGGTTTTAAAACCACTGGTGTGTTGATGCCTCCTACGCTTGCATCTTCAACTCTGACCTCTCCACTGAGCTATGGGCTCCTGTCTACTTGTCATCTCCATTTGCATACCTATCAGGCATTTCAAAATTAACATAGGCAAAACAAAAATTTGATTTCTGTCCCCACCCCAGTCTGGTCTTTCCCATCTTGATAACTGGAACCAGCACACACTCCGTCTCTCCAGACTGGAAGGCACCCTGGATTCCCCCCTTTCTCTTCCTAGCCACATGGCATTCATCACCAAGACCTGTGAACTCAACTCATGGGATTCATCTCCAGGTCCTGTAAACCCCACTCAGCACATCCTTTCTCCTCCACCTCCATTAATGCCTTGTCTCGCCCACATGACTGTTGGAGCCTCCTCTGGTCCCCTACGGTCCGCTCTAACCACACAGCCAGAGCAAGCTTTGAAGCTTTTAAATAAGATAATGTCCCCCCTATTGTTAGTTGCATAAAACCTAGGTTCCTTGCTATGGCCTGCAATTCCATACAAAAGAGGGCCCCTACCTGCCTCTCCGACTCAACTGTCCCCGCTCCTCCTGTGCATCAGCCTTCATCCTGTTGCTAAACTTGGGGAGTGGGCACAGTGCCACCTTAGGGAGAGCTCTTCAGCTCTTCCCTCTGCTTAGAATACGCTGCCCCAGGGCTTTGCCTGTCTCAGCTCAAACATCACCTCCTTGAAGAGGCATCTCTGAGCCCCGGCTCTCTGGGCCACATCCCCCTGATTGTTTGATTTCGAGCACGTATCATCATGGAAATGACCGGTTCTGAGTGTTGGTTTCCTTGCTTGTTGGTTGTCTCCCCCACTGGACTGAGGTGGAAGCTCCACGAGAGCAGGGGTCTTCTCTATCATGGTCTCTGCCAGATCTCCTGTGTCTAGGACAGTGCCTGGTGCATTAGCGGTGTTCAATAAATAGCTGTTGAATAAATGAACAAATGGAGACCAGGCAACAGAGATAAAACTAAAACAGGATCTGACGTGATCCCAGCCCCTGGGGGCTCATATATGGATCGATGGAGACTAATTGGCATTTATAATGCAATGTGATAAGCACATCCACAAATGCCAGGACCGGTGCTGTGGAGCCCCTTGGAAGGGCACCTACCAGAATGTGTGCGAGCGTGTGCAGGGACAGGCTTCCTGGGGAGGTCATGTCCAAGTTGAGACTTAACGGACAGTAGGCAGGTGCAGAGGAGGCGGCCATCTCAGCTCAGGCGGGGACACCTGACCATACAAAGAGCCAGAGGGCGTGAGAGCATAGTGAGGGCGTTCTGAAAACCGCACCTGCAGACCATCCGGCCTGCCCGAGGGCAGAAGGGCTCGCCTCCTTCCTCCCTGGGTTGTTTGGAGGAGGGGAGACCATCATCTAGATCCAGAGCATTCATTCCCTCATTCATTCCTTTGACACTAACCACTGGGCTCTGAATGCAGGCTAGGACCTGTGCTGGGCGCTGGGGAGGCAGCAGTGAAAAGGCTCAGGCCTCTGTGGTCTAAGAGGCAAAGCCGAGCTATGAAGGTCAAGGAAGCTTCAGCCCAAGGCCACACCGTGAGACCTGAAGCAGACACACTCCTGCCAGTCCTGCAGGGACTTGTCTCTGAATGGATCTTGCTGCCTGTCTTTCTGTTCACACGCTGACACACTTGCTCACCACACACGCAGGCATGCACATCATCTCTGCTCTGGTCACATGCACACACCCACACCTGACCTCCTGACCTCGCACAGGCACCTCCGTCCTCACACACTCACCCTCCCACCGGAGGCAGTGACCCCAGCGTGCAGATGCTCACAGCCTGCACAAGGTACTCCTGCCCTCTGGAAGCTCCCGTGCTGTTTGGGAGGACCATGTAGGTTCCAGAAACACTCCCTCCCCAAAACATTTATAACGTTACAGACAAACCAGTACAAGGTGTAAACTGCACTATATGTACCATATGATGGAGTAATTCAAGCAGGCTTCTTGGAAGAGGGGAACTTGAGCTAGTTCTTGAAGAAAGTCATGGAATAGTGAAAATGAAGAGAAAAGAGTTTGGTTTTTCATGTGTACATTTTTTTAAGACACTGAATTAATCAGGTTCTTCAGGCTGCAGAAAAGATAATGTATTGATTGACTCATGGAACTGAAAAGTCAGCGTTGGTCTGGCTTCAGGCAGTGTTGGATCCAGAGGCTTAGAATGATGTCAACAGGGCTCTGTCTTTCTCTACATATATTACCCAACTGGGTTCTCGCCACACGGAAGGCCAGACTGACCCTAGGAATTCAAGCAGACAGAAACCATCTCTCCCAAGAGCTCCAGCAGGAAAGGCTTGGAGGACTCTGATTGGTCTCATCTGAGGTCACATGCCCACTTCTGAACCGATCCTCACAGTCAGAGATATAGACTTCTCTGATTGGCTAAGCCTGAGCCATGTACCTACCTCTCTAGGAGGCCAACCCATCCAAACCACATGGAATGGGTTTCCTGAGAGGAAAAGGGGCTCTGTTATCAGAAGAACAGGGAACAGGTACTAGACAGATAAATCAACAGAAGTCAAATGCCCCTGCCTTAAACAGCAGCCCCTCCCTGGGTTATAGCGCTCTACATTTTTTAACGCTTCCACATAATTTATCCAGTCTGCTGCTCAGGATCAATCTTGAGCCAGGCATGGTTACCATCCTCATTTTCCTATAGAGCAAGAGCACTTCCAGACATGGAACTGGATTTTTCTGCTCTACTCTAATAGAAGCCAGAGAATCAACTTGGAGTCCCTTGGGCCAACTTGTCTAGAAGGACAAATGACCTTGGAGCTCCCGGGCAAAGCCTCTCTCAGCAGGGGGAGGTGGGCATGGGAGGTTAGGGATCAGTTCTTGACACACTAAGTTTGAGGAGCCTCTGGGACACCCAAGTGGAACAGCCCAGGAAGGAGCTGGGCATGAGACTGGAGCCTCCCCCTGCAATGACCAGACACCTACTGCCACGCCGAGAGCCTCTTTACCTTCTATGCTAAAGTGGCCAGTCAAGGGGCATGTGTTCAGAGGACAGTGGGACCAAAGCTCTGGGCACAGCCAGGATGGGAGTGGGTTGGGGTAGGGGCAGTGCTGTATGCAAGGACATCTGCCTGGGCTTGGCTCCTCTGTGCAAAGGAGAGCTGAGATCAGCCCAGGACCTCCTCAGCCCAGCTCAGAGGACCTTCAGATCACTATCTATCACTGACCACTGATCACTTCTCTCCTCGGTGCCTCAGCTGCCTCCTCTAACACTCAGCAGGGCTGGGTAAGATGGTCTCCGAAGATGGCCCCCGATGATGCACACCTCCTGGTATTCGTGTCATGATATAGTCCCCTCCCACGCTGAATCTAGGCTGGCCTGTGACACACATTACTCCATAGAATGTGGCAGAAGTGATTCCATGCCAGTTCCAGCCTTAGCTTTTAAGAGAAATGGCAACTTCTACTTCCTCTTTCTTAGAAGCTTCACTTCTGAGATCCCTGAGTCACCGTGTAAGATGTCTGACACCCCTGCTCATGGGACCATGGGAAAAGGCCATGTGGAGAGGAAGAGAGGCCCAGCTGATGACTCAGCATCTTAGTTCAGCCTCCAGATGACTCCAGCCCCAGCCTTTATCTGGATGCACCTACGTGAGAGACCCCGAGCAGACCAGCAGAAGAACCAGCAAGCTGAACCCAGTCCACCCACTGACCCAGGAGAGAGAATAAAATAGTGGTTGTTTTAAAGCCGCTGAGTTTTGGACTGGTTTGTTATGCAGTGACAGATAACAAAAACAGTCTTCCGGTTGAGAGATTGGCTGGTATTCCTGAGTCTTGTACCACCTTCCTCCCAGCCCCCAAGACCTGACATGGTTAAGTCAGGGCTTGGTTAACAAGCAAGTGAATACTCAAGTTAATATCTATACCAAGCAGGCGGGCCAGTTTTTAGTATGGGAAGGGATGCACACATGCTGTCAATTCCAGAACTGAGCTTTCAAAAGACCCAATCCAGTTCCCACAGGGCTGGAGACCAAGGCAGGGGAACTGGCTGGCTCCCCAGCTCCATCTCTGAGTGCTGGCCCAGAGAAGCAGATGGTGAGGCTCAGATGCCATTCAGATGCGCTCGCACGGCTCTGAGATTGAAGGCTGTGGTATGGCGAAACAGGATGGTTGAGCCACCTCCCAGCCTGGCCCACAGGGAAGTAGGCCAACTGAGCATAGCTCTGCTGTCTTGGTCACGCTTAGGTCCCCCTCACATTTCCCACCACCTCAGACCTGATCCCTCTGCTTCATCTGTCCTGGACCAGCTCTTTCTTGACTCCCATCTTTTGCAGGCCCAAACGCCACCCCTGCAACTGTAATCACTTCTCTGCTCTAGGGAATCTTTCCTTCTCTTTCCCCAAGATCTCCAGGATCACAAGATCATAGTCATATGGGGACTGCATTCACTGAAACGTGTCAGGAGTGACTCTTATCCCACTACTAGCCCATGAGGTTCTCGAGAGCAAGGACTACAGCTTCATTTTTCCCTCTAACACATTCCATTAGTAAGTTCATTCAGTCATTCATTCACTCAACAATCCACTATGTGCCAATATCTGTTTGGTGCAGGGACATAAAGCGAAAAAGTATTATCCCCGCCCTGGAGTCACGTTTGGTCCAGTTGGACAGACAGGCATGGGAATAGGCAATTATTGCACAATCACATCATGCTAGGAGGGAGGAGTGTACACAATGCAGTGAGAACAGTGGGCCTGGGAGGAGGGGCTACAGATAAAATTCACTAGTGATTCTCAGATGCCAGGCTCGGCTCTAAGCATTTCGTTTATTTCTATTTCTATTTTCATTATTTTGAAGTGCTTAAAAGAGTAAACTATTATTATTTTAGAATAGGAAAGTAAAGACAAACTGTACAAAATCCCAAAAGTGCCAATGCTGCCCTCTGAGCCTTCCCAGAGGAACACGCCCTTCCCCGTATTTTGTGCCTTCCAGATATACTATATTTTATGCATAATACGTCTGCATGTGCATGTGCACACATGCACACACACGCACGGCTTTTACGTAAATGGTTGCACAATATTCTGCATCTTTTTCTTCATTGAACATATCTTGGGGCTCATTCCGTGTCCGTGTAGAGAGCTTTCATCCCTGGCTAATGACTGTGCAGAGTCACAGTTTGCCGTTGTAGGAATGTACTATACTTTGTTTAAGCAATCACCTATTAATGGCTGTTTATGTTTCTTCTAATACTTCACTATTACAAATAATGCTACAATAAATAAACTTGTATATACGTTATTTTGAACAAGTGTCAAATATTTATAGGATAAATTCGTAGAAGTGGAATTGCTCGGTCAAGGGTAAGTGCACTTAAAATTTTAACTGCCCTCCATCTAATGTCTAGTTCTTAAAAACATACCACCAAGCTTTATAAAGCTTTTCCTCTAATCTCCTACCAGAACTCACTTCTGTCGTGGCCAGAAAACCTAGGCGGGCCAAGGAGGAGAAAAAAGGTAGCACTTCCTTTTAAAATGCTTCTTTTCTTCTATCTAAGTATAAGTATAAATTTAATATACAGATATATACAAATTTCATGTTCGTGTATTAAATTTGTATTTAAAATATAAACAGCATTTAGTAATACGCTTAATAATGCAAATACAAATATGTTTATATAAATAACTTAAATGTAAATGTAAAGTTCAGCAGGGGCGAGTGTGGTCAGGCACCACGTGCAGCTGCCATGGGGCAGAGTCTACCTGAGCAGGGAGGGCGGGAACCTGGCCCTGGTGCCCTCCTTGGGATCCTGGAGAGAGTCTTGCCAGTAGCAGGTCCAGCCTTGGGTTGTGCAGGTTCAGAAGCCAAGCTGTGGCATCTTTGCTCACCCTGGCTTGGGGTGGGCTTTCTGTCACGGGCTCCAGAAGAGCCTGCCTGATGCAGGCTGGTCGTGGGAGAGCCTGACCCGGGGGCAGGCTGAGGGGATCCTAAGGGAGCGGCTGTTTATGCGTGCGACACCTGGAGGGCCGAGAGGGGTTAACCAGGCCCACCAGGAAGGGGTAGGCGCCCAGACAGAAGCAGAGCCAGACGTCTGCAGAGGGGAGGAAGCAGGCAGCTTTCTGAGCGCTGACGTGGTTCCCAGCAGCTGGGGCTTCGCTCGAGAGGTTGAGTGACGAGGGCCGGGTGTGTGCACACAGGTGCTGGCTTTGTGATTAATCGGATTCATCCTGATCTTTCAGATGAAGTGGCCAGAGTCTCACCGGAGCAGTGAGCAAGGGTGTGACTGCACAATCAGCTTCCTGCCCCCCACCCCCGGCCCCCGTGCATCTCCACCCTGCGCTCAGACCTCTGAGACCCACGCACGCCCTGGCTTCTCAGCCTGGTTGCCCAAAAGGCGGTGACCTTTGGAGGCCTGGCATCCCTCAAGCCCCGCGGGGCCACACCTGGGGCCCTGCGACTGCCGAGGGAGAGCCGCCTCGCCAGGCCCTGTGAGAAGGCCGACGGGAGACAGGCCACGGGCGTGCCAGAACCTGTCCTGGTGTGCACACATGTGCACACACAGGAAACCAGTTACCCTTCCCCGGCTGAGCCCTTAGGAACGTTCTCCAGTATTTACTATTCCTCTGAAGTCATTACCTTATCTCAGGGGCCCTTTGGAGCCTGGGTGAGGCAGGAAGGAAAGGACGAGGGCTGGGAGAAGAGGAATTTGCCCTCTGCTGTGTCTCAGGTCTCCAGGCTTCTGGGGGAGCAGCCTGTACCTCCCCAAACTGCCACTAGCCAGGCCCAGGCCATGTCATCGTCCCCACACCTGCCGCAGGCCTCTTGTCCCTGCCTCCAGCGACTTCCTGCCAGTCCATCTTCCATAAGAGGGATCCTCCTGAAATGTCGCCCCCCTGTGCATAGCTCCACTGGGCCGCCTTCAGACTGAGGCAAACTCTTTTCTATGACTTAGAAGGCCCTTTGGAATCCCGGCTGACCTGTCTAGCCTTGCCTGTCCCCATTCCCCACTCACTCTGGGCTTGGGGCACAATGTCCCACATCTGGTCCCTGACAGCACCAGGGCTCATGCATTAGTTCCTATGGCTGCTGTAAGAAACTGCCACTAACATGGTGGCTCAAAACCACACAGATTGATTATCTTCCAGTTTAGGCAGTCCGAGCCCAAAAATGAGTCTTAAGGGGCTAAAATCAAGGTGCCAGCAGGGCTGTGTTCCTTCTGGGGGCCCTAGGAAGGAATCCATTCCCTTAGATTTTCCAACTTCAAAATGCCGCCTGAGTCCTTGGTTTGTGGCCCCATCCTCAATCTTCAAAGCCAGCAGTGTAGCATCTTCCGATCTTGCTTTCTCTGACCTCTGTTTCCTTGGTCACATCTTCGCTCTCTGACTCTGACACTCCTGCCTCCCGCCCGTAAGGGCCTTTGTGGTTGCATGTAGGGCCAACCCAGGTAACGCAGGAGAATCTCCCCATCTCAAGATCCCTAATTGGATCACTCCTGCAAAGCGCCCTGTGCCATGTAAGGCAGCATATTTGCAGGGATTAGGACGCGGACATCTTTGGGGGCCGTTATTCTTCCTGTCACAGATCACGCTGCGCTTTGGCACATGCAGGCCCCTCGGCACTGCAGGCAGAACAATGGCTGACTGGGAGGCCACATTGGGGCTCCAAGCCAGGCCATGCTCTGCTCATCGAGCTGTGTGTACGGGCATGGGCTGCATCCACCCAGAGGGGGCACCTTTGTCTAATTCACACAAAGGTACCACATGGGCCAGCAGAGGCCCTGCCTGAAACCCCGACCCTCTTCCGCCCATTCCCCTCCTGACCGAGAGCTACTCATTCTTCAAGCCTGGGCTCAGTCCAGGCCATTTCCCTGACTCTCCCCTGTTCCATACCCACACTCCCAGTAGCCTTAGTCACTCCTTCTCTGGGCTCCCACTTTATCCTGTACTTTCCATATCCCAGCACTGACCACAGGACATTGGGAATGTGTGTCTGCCTGAGCAAGATCTGAGCCCAGAACTGGAAGCTTTCCCCTGCAGCCCTGCTCTTCCCCAGGCCCCACCACCTCTGTTCTCAGGATAGACACCCCCTCTGGGGTGTTCCAGCTCCCGCCTTCTTTGTCCCGCTGGGTGCAGGCCTCACGTAGGGCTACAGAGGTCCTATGAGACAGGCAGGAAGGAAGCAGAGGTGATCCTCCCCTCAGAAATGCTCCCAGCCCTGGGGGAGCCACCCTACCCAGGGAGCCCCAGAGCAGACAGTGAGCAGCTTGAGGTCCTGCTGCCAGAGGAGCTCAGGCTGTGGCTCAAGGGAGATCAACCAGAGAGGCAGGAAAAGGTCAGGGAAGGCTGCATGGAGGAGGCAGTCTCCAGGAAGGGGAGAGGAAGGAGCAGAAAAGGAGCAACAGGGATGCAGAGTAAATGAAAGGGGAGCTGTCCCAGCCTCTTCTCACAGAGGGCCAGAACAGGGAGGATCTTGCCCAGGGTCACTCAGTGAGCCAATGGCAAAGCTGGGACTAGAACCCTGGTGTCCTGGTGCTCAGCCCGTGGCTGTACCAGACATTGCCTTTCCTCTTCCTTCTTTGCCTCCCTCAGCCCCTGATCTGGGGGATCCCCTGAGAAATGGAGCACCCAGATCTCTCTCCAATGAACACAAGCGTTGGCAAGCCGCACCCTAGATGATACAAAAAATGAATATACTGAGAACAAAAACGAAACACTCTTGGAAATTAAAAACATGATAGTGGCAATAGAAGGCTTGGAAGGTAAAGTGGGGGAAATCTCCTAGAAATTAGGGAAAAAAATAGATCCACATCAAGTATATCTTTGCAAATGTCAGACAATCAGGGCCATAGATAGAATTCTACAAATTCTAAGAGGTGCAGAAATCAGGTCACATTGCAAGCATGAGGAATCAGAATGACTTTGATCTCAGCAGTGCTGGGACACGAGAAGACAGTGAAAGAACACTAGAATGGTAGAGAGAAATGGTCTCCAACTAGAGCCCTCCATCCAACCAAAAGACCAACTGTGTACGGGAACAAAGACGCTTTCAGACATGTGATATCACAAGAAACACTAACTGCTGTGCTATTTGAGGGGGTCCATATACGTGTAGAAAATCTAAGGAAAAGGAAGCAAGTGGACGGGAGGGAGAGCAATACGATCAGGGAGTGACACCCAAAAGACTTCTAAGGCATGAGTAATACTATACTTAGTGGTCACATTAAATAATATACTTAATTATTCTCCAAATTGTATTTATTTTATACACTCTTCTGAATGTACAACATATTTCACAATAAAGATTGTTTACACAATTTACACAATGAAGATTATTTACATATTTCACAATAAAGATTGTTTAAAGAGGCTTCTGGAGGGCTGGCAATGTCCTGTTTCTTGACCTGGGTGATTGTTACATAGGTGTTGACTTTATGATAATTTGTTAAAGTGTATATTTATGTGTTATGTATTTTTCTACATGCATGATATATTTCCCAATAAAAAAATTAAAAGAAAAAGAGATTGTCTACTGTTCTGTTTTGTGATGTCTTCTCCCCTTTTTGGCTCCCAAATTTCAGCGAATTCTGCTCCACAGCCTTGTGCTGGTGGCCTCCGCCTTGTGTTGCTGGTCCTTGGGGAAAGAGAGGGCCCCAGGGGGAACAGGGGGTTCTAGGCAGGGATGATGCGGCACAGAAAGGGAGGAGAGGAGAGTAGCAGAGGCTTCAAGCAGAGGCAGAATGTTGGAGACAGACGAGACCAGAGTAAACCTAAGTGTCCCCAAGATATTGGGAGGGGAGACATTCTGGGGTCTTCACCTTATGTGGGATAGGGACTCAAGTCAATGCACTTAAATATTACAGAAAAGGTTAACCTTATAATCCTGGAGAATTTGGAGGCACCCTAGCAACTCAAAGATGGGTTACGCAGGAGCAAGTAAGAGGTGGACATGGACATGCTTTATGAGTGCCAGGTAGTTTGGAGAGTTAATAACTGTTAGTAGTGATGGGATTCCTTCTCCATCCCCTTCTGGGGTGAGTTTTTCTAAGAGTGGTAAGGTCTTTGTGAGAGGGAAGGTAAACCAGTCAGGGATCCTAGTTGCAAACAATACAATCCACTCTAGCCGGATTATGCAGAAGGGTAAGCTATTAAAAGATATTATGAGGCTCATAGAACTCTCAGGAGGCCAAAGAGTCAGACTTGGATGCTGTGGAGCCAAGAACAATAGCCAAGTCACACAGCAGGAGCCGCCCAGAGAAGGCAAAATGGCGCCACCACACCACAGACAGTCTCGCCCTAATGGTGGCCCCAGAAACTGCCACTGCTGCCGTGAAGGCCCAGAGCCCCATGCCACCATGCTATCCCATGAAGGACACCTACAAGACTCATGCACAGACGTGTGAACAACAGAGCCTGGTCACAGGGACTGTCCCTCGGGAGGCAGAAAGTGAGTTCTGGCTTCCGCCTTGACTAGGAGGGACTCATAAAATGGAAAATTCTCCAGACATAAGAAGTGTGTATGAAAGACGCAGGATGGCCACGGATGTGACAAACACATACTTTTGGAAGGACAGAGTGGGGTGATTGG